CGCCCCCGAGGATTGCGTTACGGACCAGCCTGAGGATTTTGTTATTAGTGTAGATCTTGCCTTATGTTATCTCAGTGCCTATTTTTTTTTACTCTAACCCCTGTACCGATAACATCCATTACCGTTTTACTTGCGCTGATAACGGCCAAAGGTCAAATTTGTATGGATTTCGCCAACGTGACTGATTCGGTATCTACATCGTGACAGGTGGAATCTGAATCTGAGTCGCAAATGACAAATCGGTGTTCAGAATGTGAAGCGATCCGGTGGTTGTCATCAATCAATGTCCACCTAGTAGTAAACTCCGCGGGTGGGGCTCCTCAACTTAACGTGAACCTGAACCACTTTTCTCGAATCGAAATATAATGATGTTGAGTTTGACGAGCTAATAACTCTCAAATTAGGCAGGTATTTAACAGGAAGGACTCGTTGCGGTGAGAAAATAGATTTTATTATAAAAATAAAAATACGAATAATAACTTTAATTGGAAATTTGTTTCCAATATATGCTGGCGCAGCTGATCAATCCGGCGAGCAAATTGACTTCTCGGCATAGGCGCACGCGCAGAAATGACCGCGGAGTGTTGTCAGAAAATAACAACGTGAGTTAGTAACTGTTGGCAGAAAAGGCATTCTGACATCAATAGATGTAAGAAATATGAACCCCTTGCCTTTAACTCCTAGACGGTTATGGTGACTTTTTAGTAAACATGTATAGAAACATTCTTGCGAAACCGACAATCACGCAGAGGGTTCAAATTAATATAACATGTCTAGCTTATTTAAAAAAAAATAATCCTGTCATATAATATAATTATAATAACTTTATTCCTGTACAGAAAGTCACCGCACCAAATGCATACGTAAATGTACATGAAGTGTAAGAAACGAAAGAATAGATGAATACGTAGTCAATTTCCCTTTTTTAATTATTCTAACATTAATACTAATATAAATCGCTTTTATCGCAGTATAGTATACTGTCTATGATTATACTATGACATTTTATAAATGTATTAACTGTATTACACACTAATAATAAACGACTTCACACCAGTATATTGAAATAGGCAACAAAAACACACCTTTTCTACACACCTTTTCTATAAGGCACGCTCTCTAGCAACTAATTATTTATGTCACTGACGTCAATGAGTTAAAGTGGGGGAGTCGTCACCTGCGCATGCGTCAGATGGTCATATCGTGTCACTGTTTACAAACAAGCGTCTACCCATAATCCCTTGCGTTCTTGGTGTGTGTTGTCATCATCGCTTGGGACTCAATTTCCGTGCGTGCGCAGGAGACGACCCTCCCGCTTTAAGAATGAAAGAAGGCCGTTGATGTTGTTTTGATGAGTAGCGGCCCGTCAGTGAAAAAGATTTATAGTATTTTAAAAGACGGGCAATACCCTATAAAAGTTTACATCTGCATCATTTTAACGTCACGGACGCTTTTCGCCATGAGAAGTGTATTGAGAGTCGAAAATGTTGCTCTAGTCACGCTTCACACAAGTCCCAGCTCAGGTTTTCACCAATATTATTATTCAAAATGACCGATATGATATATTTAAAATATAATATCAATGTAATATACGCTTCGTAGATGGTGGTCGTAATTCTCAAATGGTTAGAAGGAGAATTCCAGCTAAGGAAAGAATATGTGGAAAAGACCACATTGAAGATAAGAAATATTTCATCATAGAATATGCAAATTATGATACGCAAGAAAATAGTTATTTAGTAGTTGTAAAATAAAACCAAAAACAATTACCAGCTTAATAATAATAATAATTTATTAATTGTATAATGGCCTCCGGTCCATTACAATCATACAAATTAATTATTGACAACATATACATTTATATTACAAAATATGTATGAAAATATAGATGAAGAGGGTGTCAATAGATAATATAACCACTATATAGTGCGATGGGAATATTGATTGATTAAAAACACCTATACATAAATAGAGCTAACGAGTTAATGATTTGGCTTTTAGAAGAGCTTAATAATTGTACTAGAGTATTCAAATTTGGGGGTTGTGTCTCATTTGGAAGATACTTTTTCCTGATTGTGTCCCATGCAGTGCATTTTAGTAAAAATGATATTCATCATCAATTTCTTGCAGGCACAAATGACAAATTACTAGATTTTCACTTGTAATGTCACCATTATTGCTAAATTGCAAGGAGAACCAGATTTTTTTTTTTTACTGTGATATCTACGTATGATTCAGTCGAATAATAAAGTTATTATTTAAAAATTGATATGCTCGGTAACCCGATTTTGTTTTATTTATTTTCGGGCTAAGATTATTTTTTTCTTTTTTCACGATGTGGTACATTTTAACGACACCTTGGAATCATACTTGTTAAACTCTTAACTTGATGCGAAGACAACCTCCTGTGTTTGACACATTGATCGTCCCGACGTTTCCAATCAACACAGTATCTAAGGCGGTGCGATTCGAATAGACCATTTTCCGCACACTGCGAGAATCACGCGTTATGCGTGAAATCGAACGTAAAAACAGGACAAACAAAGGTCATAGCGTCGTAGTGGCGTCAAACATCGCGTGGGATTCGACAAACGCGAAAGTATTTTGGGGACATTTCCATGCTTAATAATGTGCTGTCCACATTTGATGATAGGCAATT